CTTTCCCTCCTTGCTGCAGCTGCCTCTACTCAGAGCACCAGAAAAGAAAAACAATCCAATGTTCCTATTGATATTTTTTTTCCCTTTTTCAGTGAAAGCCTTGAAGGAAAAAGCCTTGTTAAGCCTTCTCATTTCATCTCAAGCATATGCGTGTTCCCACAGCATCATCAGCACTGCTTGAAGGAAAAAGCCTTGTTAAGCCTCCTCATTTTATCTCAAGCATATGCGTGTTCCCACAGCATCATCAGCACTGAGAGCAGGGCTGTAGTTGAAGCTGCTCTAATACAACTAATCCTGCGTTGTAAGCACTCACACGAAGCCACTCCTGCCACCTAGTGCCCAAAATTCTGCCCGGAATTTGATCCCCCTTTCCTCCAAACATCTGACAGCTTATTAGCTGACACAAACCTTCTCTACCACAAGAAGGGCTTTATAAAGAAGGGAAAATGCTTTAATGTCTACAAATAAAGGTAATATTTTTACACTCGGTGAAGAGTTAGATGAAGTTTTCAAAAAGTCTACAAAAGAAACATGAAATCCTCCTACCCTCATGTTTCAAACACTCAGATTTTAGATACTTGGCATCTACTGGAAAGTTTTATGAACAAAAAGCAACTGTTTGTTTACCACAATCTTACCCCATTGTCTGCCTGTCCCTTTTCTTCCTTTATGGCTTTACTCTTGTCTTTTCTCTGTTTGTTAATTGCACAAGTCACAACAGAAACAAAACCCAAACCCGGATGGAAGAGCAAAGCAAACAACAAACATGAAATTTAAATTGCAAATCAGAACTGAACTCACAGCAGAACAACAAAGCACAACACTGCTAAACCAAAACTGCAACACACTCCCACCCTCCCCCTAAGGAAACCCTTCCTTACTAAATTCCTTCATCTCAGATACAAGTGGGATGGATTATTCCTCAAGCCAGGAAACCAGGAAAAAGCTTTAATATTAATTTTCATACCTCAAGAGGCTAGGTAGGTTTTTTTTCACCTAGAAACAGTTATGTTGTGTCATAAATTATGCTAGACCACAGCATCAATGCTGTGTGGTGATGTGACTCTCAGCACACACACTCTCACTCAATATTCATTATGTTAATAGCTCAACAACATGATCACAGTGCTTCTAGCATGATGCTTCCCCCCTCATCATCACAATTCTTAAATATTACAGAAAAACCTGCAAATTTTGCTCTGAAGATCAGAGAAAGAGGCTGCACTGGCTTGGCAGTGTACACAACTTACTTTGAGAAGATGACCATGAGCTTCTTCCTGTTTTTTCTGGGTTCTGAATCCTCCTCAAACTCTTCCATCTCTTTTCCTAGAAAAACTTCTTGATGAAATTCTTTGTTGAGGTGTCCATCCATCTCCATTTTGACCCCATTCAAGTGATCTGGGGGTAAGATCTCGTTCTCATCTTTACTGTCAGCTGGTTTCTCTTTGAGGGCTGAATTATTTGCAGGCCTTGCATAAACATCCATTAGGAGAAATACAAACAGAAGGGACAAATAGAGAGATCCCAAACTACAGAGAAAAGCCTGTCTTGACATCATTGTTTCCTTTTTATTCAAAGTATTGGCTGATTAAATGACTGTGAATGGATTAAACGACCTGAAAAGGAAATGGAAAAAAACACATGCAAATTAAAGTCTAGAAAACTATGCCACTAATAAAACACCCCCAGAAATTCAGAGGAACCCACACACAGAAGTATTTGCTGTGAACGAGGAAAAAAGCCTATTAAATAATAACTATACAACAAGAAATTGAGCTGTGTCAGTTTTCAGACTGTACAATTGTAACCTCTGGCAGCACTTTGGAAGAGAACATCTTTAAATGACCTAGTTTCGTCCTGAAAACTGTTTCCAGGTGTTCTGGTGTGAGTTGACTTGAAAAGTGAAGCTTTTACTGAGCAGACAACGAGCACAGGAAGCACGCACTCTCCAAACATTCAGCCCAAGCTCAGCTGTGGCAACATCCCCGACATGAGCACTGGGTTTGCCAGCAAGCTGCAGACACCATAAGGACAGCGCGACAGTTTACCAGAGATCTCAACTCTCCACCGCTTCAGAAAAGGCTGAAAGTCGTGAAAGTCTTTTTGGAAATAGGTGATACAGGGGACAACACGATTACACATGCCACCTCACGAAGCTGGAAACGCAGAGGAAGCAGCCGGCAGGAAAAGCAGCCCCCGGGGCGGGCCTGGCACGACCCGCTCAGTGCTGCCTGACCATGGCAGTTCCCGGAGGGCAGGGAAACGGGACAAAGGGGCACAGCACAAACCCCACAGCCCGGGAGGCACGGCCGAGCCCGCCCGGCCGGGGCGGCGGTCACACACCTCCAGCGCCGAGG